AATATGGCGCTATGGTAAATATCTCAAAACTTCGCACAATATTTAGGCAATTTCTTGTTCTGTAGATGGTTTATAAAACCACTTCCCCCGGAACATTTATCATGTTACAATATTCTTGAGGGGTAAAGGTTGCCATTGTTATACTTTTGCATCACAATATTATCTTACAAGACGAATCATTGAACTAAGCTAAATGGACTGCTCCAATCTTCTGACATGGGCAGCTTCTAGTAAGATGTCCACAGCACTTCCTCCCTTAACACTGCTCTTCTGTTATGCCTCGTATACGAGGCTTTCTTAGCATTTTTGCGTCTATTTGAGCGGTACTCAGAAAGATCCAAATCGTCGCCGATTAGCTGTGATTACCTGTCAATTACTCAGAGAAATTACCATGCATTATTACCATTTCGTTTCGTATTCACTGGTAATCGCAATCGCCCTTTCAATCTTTGCTGTTCCGTGAAGAAAATCATCGTCTGGCGGTATTGAATAATACATAAATATGTGGAATAATAAATGGATCGTTTCTTGGTAGCTCCTTGCTGGAACGGGGTAAAAATGGAAGTTTTCTCATCGGTTTCCCCATATCCTACATACAGGGTGACAGAAGCAGTGGAATCGATCAAAAATACTGTAACAAAAGCCGGAACGCGTAGTAATTTATTTACTAGTTCTCGGAACAGATGGGCCAAAAAGTAAAATATTTCAGTCGACACCAATTATCGAAAGTTGAGGGCTCTCTTGAGGTTGTAGCGTCGTCCTTCGGAGAAATTTAGCAATATTTTTTTGAACAAGTTCACTTAGATTCGGGGTCATGTGACAGTCATCTGTTGCATCCGGGAGGCGCCAGCGTAGTTTGGGCCAGAACAGAGAAACCCATATTTTTAATAACGCGCGAAATCACGAGAAGAGCGTAGAGGTTCCAAAGTAGAATTAATTTAAATTGTAAATTGATAGTAATTCGATAAGAGAGTTGGTTTTTTGACGGATTTTCCAAGCTATAAGAGTAGATTAAATGATATCGACTAATCCGTCTCGTATTTGCTACAGGGGGTCGCTAGAGGAAGGCTAGGGTTACTTGTAAGTCACATAATTATTTATATAAATGTAAATTCAGTCCATTAGACAACTATTAACATGGCATAGTTATGCCAAAGCGTCCCGATATTCAGGCCGCCAGTAAGATAAGAACAGAAACTTCTGGACCCAAGAAATGGGCGTGTCGAAGCGAGGTGTCGAATTCGGGAAAGATCTCGAAAAGGTCAGTTCTTTCTTATGTTCCACATTGATGAATTGTATTTTTTCTATCCTATCGAGTTTGATTCTATTCACTTCTACCGAATTTCCTGTAGTATCGAGGTTTGCAGTTGCCAGGTCGTATGGGTAGTATCTAAAGAGTGAACCGCCCAAGGCCGACAATCTTAGCATTTCGCGGACCCACTCTATATTTTCCAGCATGAAAATTGAAAATAACCCCGATTTCGACTTGTGGCGAATCTATAAACACCCCTCTCATACCCAAACTCGGGTCGCAAAGCCGAGTATTCAATTATACAGGCCCAGATTAATCGATAAGGCGTCCGGTGAGCATTAGCTCCGATTACGCGGCGTCCGATGGGACCAAATGGGCGCTACGTACGAAAGGGGCGCCTCTTGCACCGGCAAAGAGCTCTATAACACCTGCCACGAAACAATCACGCGCCCATTAGGCGTCTATTCAATAGGCGAGTTAAATATGACAAGTTGCAGCATCATCGTGACTTCGGTTTTGACGCACGGCGTGCGATTTTCCGCGTGCCGCGGTTATTAGCCGCGTTGGGGCAGACGACTCAATAAGGCACCGCCGGTTGGGTCGTGAGTTCGTCAGGGAGTTGCTATTTCGATGTTTAAAGCGCCTACTTGGTACGGAGGAATTAATATTCGCGCTACAATGTATTTGGAATTCTAACACTTTTTTTCCTCAATTTGACATTTTAGTGCCTGACAGCTGTCACTAAAACTACTTATGTCGATCGGCAAAAAAATATTTTATTCAAAACATCTCTACTTTTAATGAACCGCTTGTTATTCCGTCTTTACGGATACGAAATAAACGAACAAACAATGTCGAGACAGTACCGAGTTCCGCTTACGACTCTGAATATTTTAAAGTTCGATTATAAACAGGCGCACCGTCGTTACAAATCCTAGAACAGCATTAAATTGTTATGCCTTTCAGGCTACGTTATGTCATTTGTAAGGCCGTATTTTGAAGTAACTCGCACATCTGTCAGCAGAAAAAGCAATGAATATTAAATAGAGAAAAACCGACGACTGCATAATATGCCTATGCAGATATACTTTAATGGGGTATTCAATTTAACTTTTACGATTCAGATAATTTAATGTTTTTATTACGGCTTTTATATAATATTTCAGGGCTACTGTACGCAGACAGCATAAATGAATCTGATAATAAAATTCAGTAAATTATTCAACCGCTTAAGTCCCCACCGTGCCATCATATTTCCTGCGATGAATTGAAATTGGCTCCAATTAAAAGTACTCCGAGTTCGCCGCGGAATATTTTAATTAATACGCTTCTTTTTTGCTCCGGCAAATGGTTTACGAGTCCTTTATTTTAAACTCTGCATATTAATTTAATAAATTAAACAGTTGGTCGTTCCGTTTTTGGTCGCGCGTCGCGTACCGGGTACGTCCGAAAACAAATTCAAACTCGGAATACTTAAATTTGATCCGTTAGGTAGCCGCTGTCAAAAGTGTCCGAAAAGCGCACTTTTACTGAACACTTTTGACACCAACAGAAAGTTAAAAGTGTGCTTTTTCGCACTCTTTTGAAATCTCTAGCTTTTTATTTCTATAGTAATGATTTAAAAGGCTTTATTTATTAAAAACACCTTCTAAAATTCTACAGTTAATTGTCAAAAAGTGTACACAAAAGTGCACGCATTAGCGACACAGGCGAAAAAATTGAATTTCAAAATATTTAAATTTGATCCATAAGGTATCCACTGTCAAAAGTGTGCGATAGTGTACTTATGAGATGTAAAAAGTGTCCGAATGTGCAATTTTACTAAACACTTTTGACACCCACAGAAAGTTAAAAATGTGCACGTTCTTGAAATCTTTAGCTTTTTTATTTCTAGTGATGTCTTAAAAGCGTTTATTTATTAATGGTACCTCTACTGTTAACCGTCAAAAAGTGTACACAAAAGTGCACTATTATGCACACTTCAGCGACACTCAGCCGAAGAAATTGAAGTTCGAAATATTTAAATTTGATTCATAAAGTAGCCGCTGTCAGAAGTGTGCGACAGTTACGAGATGTTAAAAGTGTCCAAAGTGAGTTTTACTGAGCACTTTTGGAATCTACAGAAAGTACACTATACGCTTTTGGAATCTTTAGTTCTTTTGTTTCTAATGATGCTTTAAAAACTTTCATTCATTAAATGCCTTTCTAAAACTGTACTGTTAACTGTCAAAAAGTGTACACAAAAGTGTACTTTATCGTACACTTTTGGCGTTAGTGCACATTTTTACACTTTTAATGTGCCACAACCGCCTATTCATTAAAGGCACTTTCCAACATTTTCTTAATATTTTCTAAAAGTGTACAAAACTTTAAAAGTGTGCTTTTATACAGACTGCTGTAATTGTTACAATTTTTTTATATTTTGGAAACTCTGTTCATTAAATAAGACATTCAAGACAACTTAGCTTCTCCCAAAACAAAGTATGCTAGTACCTAAAAGTGCAAAAGTACACTTTGGCGTGCGCTTACACTTTTGGTAGTGCTTCAGCCATTCCTTGTTGGTTTTCGTCAAAGAAAATATACACTTTTAACACTGTATGTCTTATAAGTATTGAATAAAAAGGTTCAATATCTAAAAAATATATAACCAGATTCGTAGGTATCCTTCTCAAAATTTGTGTATTTCAAAATACCAAAAAGTGTTTAAAACAGTTGTACACTTTTATACTGGCTGTCTAAGTGTCCTGTACACTTTTAGTTCTTTTTCGCAAACAACTGCTCTCCTCATTAACGATACGGCTAGATTTTAAATGCGATGATAATCTTATATCATTAAAATTTTAATACCGCTAATTATTGTGAAAGTATGGGAACAATTATAGTAAAAATTAGATAAAACAAGTATCACTACATCTACATTTCATATATTTAACTAGAAAAGTACCCCGTTAAGCTCGGACTCGTTGATATTTACTCTTGTTTATTTACGACTGACCTAAGACAATGTTGTGTTTGCATTTTTTCACGCCAGCCGATTTGTTCCACCAGGCACACACACATTAATTAAGGATTAATGAATATGGCGTTCCCATTTTCATAACGCTGTACGGTCGTGGTAAAAAAAATTATTTACACAAAATAGAAAACGGTACGCTCCACGCGGAGAAATATGTTCGTTTAATTCGACACACAAAATTACGCAGATTGTGTCACACGACTGATAGTTCTTTTATTAATTTGTGAATGCGTGTTTTTCGTTTCAACAGTATGTCTGCTCGAGATAAATTGGTTATTCCTTAATTGTCACCGGTTCCGCATATAACAGTTGCTTCAGCATCAGTCTAGGTATTGGTAAAAGTTTGTAATCGAATATTTCTGTTCTTAGTTAGTATTTTATAGCAATTTCTCATAACTACAGTAATCGCGGATTAGAAGATATGTTACTGACGCACGGCGAATGTAGACAAAACGCTGCAGCTGCAGACCGCGGTGGTTTTGTACTATGGACTTTTGGTTCTATAGGCTTAAAGTCCTTAGGCCAGATTATTAGACAGTGATACTATGAAAGAGATCTTAAAACATAATTTCCTGTTTTTAATCGTTAGACTGTTCTCTCTGTGTATGCAAAAGCATGCATCGAGACGCGTGGCCGAGCAATTAATTTATTATGAGTGTTGCAGGCTCGGCATTTTTGACCTAATTGTTGTTGTTGTTGTTCCAGTGGTTATGCACAAAGATAAGGACGATGCAGCCGGTCTTCACCGACAGAGAGATCTCACCGCTTTCGACCACACTCCTTTGGACGGCGAGATGTTTCTCCAGGTAACCATAATCGTAAAAAATTATGTAGAAAAAAACGTTTTAAGGCTAATTGCAGTAATAACTAACGGTAATATGTCTACAGGGTGATTTTGTATGAATAACAAGTGTAAATTTGATTTGGTAAGCTCAATTTTCAATCCAAAGTTATTTAAATTTTTTTGTATCCTCACAATAGTCCCATACTATCGAGCTTGATACACCCTGTACATACCGACCGAAATAATAAAAACAACACCGTTTACAACATGATTACATAATTTTTGTATTTCTCTAGGCACTAAACGGATTCCTCATGATACTGACCTGTGAAGGAGAAGTATTCTTCGCCACACACAGTATAGAAGGTTATTTAGGGTTTCACCAGGTAAGTCCATTAATTTAAGAGAAAAAACGCTAAAACTCCTTTAACTCAATAAAAAACGACCGCATCTCAATGCTGATCGGACCGTTAGTCCGCAGAGTAGTTTCTAAGAGAATGCGAGGTCTGTCTGTAGTCCTGTTGCAATTCAGTAGTCTTTTTTTTTCGTGGCGCCGTATAATTATTTTTCCAGCTGGAAAATACTTGACAACCTTTGTTTTTCAGTCAGACATCGTCCACCAATCTGTCTACGAGCTGGTCCATTCGGAGGACAGGGAGGAACTGCAGCGGCAGCTGATGTGGAACTCGTTTCTTCCGCCAGAGTCCGCCAACATGGGCCTCCAGGACGTTCTCCTACCGGAGAACTGCCACTTGCTGGAAAGGAGCTTCACAGTGCGCTTCCGATGTCTTCTAGACAATACTTCCGGTTTCTTGGTAAGTTCACCGCATCAGAAGTGGGATGTTCCCTCCGACTCGATCCGGGAGTCGTACTTTACTAGAGATTAACATTTAATGCTGTTGAATACCCCACGACTGTGATTTTTCAGCGTTTAGACATCCGCGGTCGTGTCAAGGTGCTCCACGGTCAGAACCGCAAGTCGGAAGAACCGCCCCTGGGTCTCTTCGCGATTTGCACGCCTTTTGGACCCCCTTCCCTGCTGGAGATACCCCAGAAGGAAGTCATGTTCAAGAGCAAACACAAATTAGATTTAGCGTTAGTTTCTATGGATCAACGGTAAGGGTGGCCTTCAGGCAGTACAGATCTTAATCCATTGCACCTTTTTTCAAATCATTAATTACAATTTTTAGCTTTCCATATACTATTATGTCTTCAAATTGTGTCAGTTCTGATGGCAGTCTTCTTTTGCAGAGGTAAAATGTTATTAGGTTATTCGGATTCTGAACTAGCTAGTATGGGTGGTTATGATTTGGTTCACTACGACGATTTAGCTTATGTAGCCAGTGCTCATCAGGAATGTAAGTACAGTTTCTTTCTTTTGTTGAAGAAATTTGTTTTATGTTGCTTAATTTCTTTTGTTCTTTTCAGTATTAAAAACTGGTGCATCGGGGATGATAGCCTACAGGTTTCAGACCAAGGATGGACAGTGGCAGTGGCTACAAACCAGCTCTAGATTAGTATATAAAAATTCCAAACCAGACTTCGTCATCAGCACGCACCGTCCCCTGATGTAAGTATATACAGTGGAGTAGTCACCATCCTTCCCCACAACGACCAATCATGTGTTGTGGATCACCTATACTGTTGCTGATCCCTTTAAGAGCTGTTTTGATTGACTCTGTCCAAGAATCTCCTTTGGCCTTGTAGATGATTCTATTCCAGTTAACTGATACAATGAAACTAAATAAGTGTTAAATATAACAAATAGCGTTCATTTGAGTCTTTAAAACGTTGAAACGAATGCTTATGACGTTGTTTTTAGGGAGGAGGAAGGTCGCGATCTCCTCGGCAAGCGCACCATGGACTTCAAAGTCAGCTACTTGGATGCCGGTCTTCCAAACAACTACTTCTCCGAAAACGACCAGCTGCTGTCTACCACGCCCAACGTGACGCAACACAGCATATCAACCACGCCGTCCAGAGTCAACAGGAGATACAAGACCCAGCTGAGGGACTTCTTGTCCACCTGTCGGACGAAACGCAAACTATCGCACGGATCCTCTAGTGGTCAGGTTAGTGCAGGGAGGATATATGTACATAGAGGGTAGTTATTTCTTGGCATAACCACAGTAGAGACGTACACTTTTTGATAAATTGAGGGAATACATGATTTTGACCTTGAACCAGTCAACCATATTGAAAAGGAGTAGATTTTGTGTTCTGTAGAAATTTCCAACATTTGCAGCACCTTGCTGGAGCAGACCTACTAACTTTTTATTTGTCTAGATCGTATTTTACTAACGATGACTGCATTTCTAGGTTACCCCCCCGTCCAATGCCACAGTCACCACCGCCGTAGTCAGCCCCATGCCCACGGTGGACTACATCACCCCCGACGGCTGCACGGCCTACAACATGTACACCACTCCCTACCCCACCGCCACCCCCGACCACAGCCTGTCGTACATGAGCCATTCCAATTTCCAGCACGGGTTGTACCCAACGCCTACAGCGCTGGACAACCGTTATTTGACGTCAACCGAGAACCTGTTCCATCAGTACCGACCACTGAGCTCATACTACCCGGATTACCACCACACCCCGGCGACGACTCCCTACGTCGGCAACGGCTTCTTGGACATGTCCTCCAGGACCGCCGTACCCACCTACGACCCTGCAGCTACCACGGCTAGTCACCACACCACGTACAGAGCCACGGTGATGCCTGTGGACGACAAGATTTACCCTTGCCAGCAGGTCGTGGACACCACCACAGCGAAGTACCCCACTTATATGGATAGTTCGAGGGGGTACGTCGTTCCCAACTCCACCAAGTGTTTGGACGTGTCCTGGCCCTACTCTGTGAGTCCGTCTTCGGGGATCATACAACCTATACAAGTTATGAGCACGCAGCTGGAACTGGGACATAAAGATTGTGGGAAACTCTCCAAGCACCCTTCCGTGGACGGACTCGCGTCCAATCACTCCTCTTCTCCGGTGAACACGGGATTGATAACACCGAAGATGGAGGAGATCAAAGCCGACACATCCCTGATCCACCAATCCGAGAGCCCCACGCACCACATGGGTCAGAACTCAGCAACCCCACAGCACTTTTCCCCGGTGGCGACGACGGTTACGGAGATGCCGAGGCAGACGGTGCTGATGTGGGGATCCAACCACATACACACCTCCCCACCGTCGACAAACAGATCGCCTTCGGGGGCCGCCGAGTACTCGCTGGCCTCGGTACCCCAGAACGAAGGTTGCGACGCTCTGAAGAGCCTCGCGGAGATCAGCAACCCGGACATGTGCAAGTGGAACGGTGAGGAAAGCAAGCCGGAGAACGTGGTGCAGAACAGTGACCCGGACAGTCCGCACCAGCACCACTCCAGCCACCACAGTCACCACAACTCCAGGGTGGTGATGGTTCTATGATGAACGTGTTATCTGCTGGCCGACGGGCCGGTTGTACATAGTTATAAATACTTTTAATAAATTGCACATAATTTAATATTTCACTGATATTATACAGAAACATATCTTCCTGCATTGTGTTTTTGTTGTCAATGTCTTCGAATTTAGGGAACTAATTGGTTAGACGTCTCGTTGGGATGACCAGCTGGGTAGTGTTGGGCTTAGATGGCCTGATTGGTAGCTCGGTAAGGATATGATGAACGGATGAGTTGAAATACAGAATTATGAAGAAAGCATAATCTAAAACTTGTTCGCCTTTTGCAATTTTAGTGTTGGTTAGACATAACTGTCATATTAAATATCACAGCTTAATATTTGTAGGTTATATCTCACTTATAATCAAAAATTCTCGGTAAATAGACACCCAAATAGCTAAATCGTTCGTCGTTAGACACAATTATGACATACTAGTAAGAACTTATAAATCCAAAACCAGTTTATGTCTTGGAGGTGTAATCAATTCTGGATGGAGCATATAGTCCGCAGAGTAGTGGTCTTCTCCAATATCATGAGTTACCAATCTTAATTATATTCAACGATTTTAACACTTATTTTTATTTTACTAGTTTTCAATAACATCGGAACCAAAGAACTAACATTAAATAAAATATGTGCAGTTTGTTTAATTCTTATAACAAACTAGTCTAACCAAAATGTAATTTTTTTCATATTTCTGTATTTTAAATAGACCAGAGGTTAAAATATTAATAAATATTACTATAACACTCACAATACAAACGTAAAATGGTGCCTTTGAAATTAATTTAAATGTGTATTCATAAAAATCACGCTACTATGCCATACAAGCTAAGTTTTGAATTTAAAAATTGGTGCAGGAACAAACCATAGTAAGTTACATTTTACGTCGCAAATCATAGATGGCGCTTTTAATTGACCACGAATAAAGTTCCTAGATCGTCCATCTAGGAACTTTCCTATCATGTGAAATATAAGACAGCAAATATGTTGTGATATTACTGTTTCTAAAAACCTCTCAATAATTATGATAATTTTAGAAATAAGTGCTTCATATGATTCCATTACGTGAACAGAAAGCTGTCATTCCAACGGAACATTTAAATGTAAAAATATTATATATATGAGAGAAGTTATATGTATTATTTTTGATATATTTTTAGTTGAGGCATATTTTGATGCTTTGAAGGAAATGTTCATTAGTACCTACCTATGTTTTGTTATTTATTTTTTACATTTTTACGCAGTGAAACCATGCTAGTCATTCAACTGGTTATTTGTATATGTTGTACATTATATTATTTATAAAAAGGATGTATAGCCGATCTGAGTTGTAATCTAGGCGTATTATGAATTTAAATGCAATTTATATTTTCTTTGACAGAGTTTGTTTATTTTATTATTTCGCGTTTAGGGCGTATTGTTTATTTTTTTCGTATAACTGAAACATTGTATCAGACTTTCCATAGATTAAAAGATTATTGTGAAAATAAAAGTGTAAAAAAATACTGAATACAGTGTATGAAAAATGTATAAGGAATAAATATAAAATAAAAATTATATTACAGTAATATTCAGTTGTTTGGTGTTTGGATATAATATTTTGTTTAGCAGAAACCACCACTATCCACTCATTTTAGATACAAATAAATTGTTTCTATGTTTATAGGTGGCGCCACAGACATTTTAAATGTATAACGAAATTTGAAATGTGTGTAAAAAAATACCTGGAAAAACATAAATATGTTGAAGTATTTGAAATACATTGAGAATTCCTAGAAATACTTTCGAAAGACGTTAAAAACTTCGACATTTTCGTTAGAAACTTTTAAATACCGCAAAATGTCTAGCAATATCTAAGAAAACATTTAAATACGTTGAAATATTTCGAAAACTATCTACAAAATCCTTCGAAATACATCAAAACAGTTTCATATTGAAAAAAAAAAACAAATTCGAGGTATCACAAATTAGAAAATTCGTCAAATCAGCTTTGGAATAAAAAACAGCTGTAGAATACGTACATCACAATTTATACCGAAACAACTTCAGAAAGTTTAAAAGTAGTTCAAAACGACTTTAGGATACAATAAAATACATCAAAGTGGGTACAAAAACGAAAGGATCATGATTTAGACGTTTTCAATATATTTCTAACAATATTTTGATGCTTTATCTCGATTAGTCAATGAAGTTTTCTTAGTTCGAATTTATCATTGAGCGCCATCTATTCACCAGAAAGGGCAACACTAGATATAATAGATAACTGTCATATGTTTCTTCCAGAGTACTTTGACTTCTATGGAGTAGATGGCGCCACATACGATTCTCCAATGTTTAAAACGACATTTTTATGTTTTTAATTTCACTCAAATAGATTAAGATACGTACGAAATGATCCCTAAATCAACAATTTAATTTTGTTCATTCGAGCAATCAATTCGTAACATTTTTAATCAAAATAATAGTTTCTAAATATAGAGAAACTTGGAAAATAAGTTGATAAGTTATACCTAGGTATGTGAAAATAGAATGACATATATGTAATAATTAAAAGTTTTGCTCGATTTAGCTTTTAGTATTTGTAGTTGCAAAGTTATTCGTGCAAATAATAAAAAACCGGACTATTCATAAGACGAATTGAAATATGTAATAATATGGTGCAAAAAATAAACAGGGTGTTCTATTTGAATCTAAAAAGTTTTCAGTTTTCAAGTTTTCAACATGTAACGTAAAAAATAGGACACAGTGTAACCTTCAGGTGATTTTGATAGTGTAGTGCAATATTTGTGTGTTCCGAAAAGCAAGTGAAAGCTTCCAGAACGAAGAAAGATATAAGAAATTTTCGAAACGCTTGCTTCTGTCAAAGTTTTTATAAAATGCCGATTATCTCGAAAACGGTTAGATCTAGGTACAGGTAAGTCGTAACATTTTTGTATTATTTTTAATTTATCTTGTCGATAGTGCAATTATATATAGGGTGTTCCATTTAAAATAACCTTGTATACAGGGTGTCCGTTAAAGAATGAGTCAAACTTTACCACTAGATTCTAAAATGAAAATTAATGGGGATAATAGGCAATGTTGCTCTTAACGCTTTGCTTTCGGGATACAGGGTGTTGAAGTTAAAAAAATGAAAACGATTTTCGGGCATATCTCCGAGATACGTTTTTTGTAATTTGATACGAGGAGTTTTAACGGGGACCTACATCATTTACTGTGATTTCACGTCAGTACAAAAAAGCAGTGGTGTGGAAACTATATTTTCGAGACGCTTTTCTAAAAAATAAAAGTTACGCCACCATGTATAGCGGAAATAAATAACAATGGGTAATTTTGTAATTTTTCTTTGTAATCTTTATTAAATAACAGAATATTCTATAAACATTAAACTACATTCTCAAAATATTGATCTTATAAAGTAACTCTTTCTCCAGTTTCCTCTTCCGCTTCCTCGTCTGCCGCTTCTTCCTTAGCGTCTCCAGTATCGAGATACAAACTGTAATCTACTTTTAACTTTTCCGGTGACGGCGGGCTCCACAAGAGACATCTAAAAATGCAAATACGGTTACCGAAAAGAATAAAAAACGTACGTTTCTACCTCGATATGAAATGTCCCTCCCTTTTCGGTTTCATCATATAGATGTCCCTAACGAGGGCCCCAAAATTTTCCTCCAAATGCTTTGCGTCCATATTTAACTAAAATATCTCCAATAATTAGTTTGCGCTAGGAATCGACCAATACAAATGTTTTCGCTGATATTTTTTGCATTTTTTACATGACGTTACAATAATTAATTTCTGAAAGTCACAAAATCATTTTTAATTAAAAAAAAAATCGAAAAGCTTTTCCCGTTTCCAGTTTTTCCAAATTATATTGCTGTATTGCATATAAAACCTGTATCGGCCAATCAATAACACACGCAAAAAACAATTCCTACTCACCGTCCCAATTATGGTTTCAACAATACCGAAATCCTTCTCGTATTCGTCTTTAATGGCGCTGTAAACGACCCCGTTAACGAATTTATTCACGGTTTCTCCCAAGTTTACGTCTAGGGTCCCCAGTCTGGGGCTCGGAAACCGCCGCTTCATCAAACCCCTTAACACAACTAGTTCAGGCAAAATTTCAGGATGCGCCACTATATACTGGAAATTCTGCAAAGAAACCTCCCCGTTTTGGATCTGCTTAATCAAATCTACCCCGCCGGAAAGCTCTGCTCCCGCTTCGGCCGCCTCTTGCTGTGCTTCGGGGCTCTTGGCGAACGCGATGATCATTCGCTGTTCGCCGTGATCAAATTTGTGGGGTATGCTCACGATTCTCGTGAAATTGTCCACAAAACGAGTCTAGAATTTACAAGTTAAGAAACGTAACAGCGAAACGTTTACACTTACTTTTTTCTCTCCTTGCATATTTAGTTCTACAGTGGCGTAGAGGTTGGCGTTCGGTTTATTGTACATTTCGGGGTGGTGAGTTTCCCTGTGACATTCCACCGCTTCAACAAACGGATACACGACCCACTTAAAATATTTAGCCACGTAAACATTATCGACTGGGTCCTTTTTCCAGGAATCATCGAATTTCCTCTGTTCTCGATTAGCAAGCAGCCTGAAAGACACGAAATATGATCGTCATGTTTCTATAAAACGTTACACTTACTTGTCTTTGTCTCTTTGGTTGTGAGGGATGAATCCAACTTTCTCTATTTCCACCTTCACTTTGGCTTTCTTCTTTCTCTCCCTTGTGCCCTTCCTTGCTGCGTAAAATCGAACTTGTAAGACTTTGCATGACTCCAAGGCTAGTTTGTTGAGGTTATATTTAGGAGGAACTAAGTTTTTACAAGTAAGTATACCTTAAACAAAACAGAGAAATCGCACGGGGTTTATAAGACATTTCGGAATGTGTACCTGCGGTTAAGAAGGACATTACAACAGATTAAAGCTGTAGTAACATTTGTTAGAACATAACCTAACTCCTAACCTGGTTTGCACCACTGAAAGCTACTCTGCGGAGTGTGGTGTGGAGAACATCATTGAGATGCAACAGCTTGACAATTAGAAAGAAAGCGAGACAGTTCTAAACTGTTTTTGTCTCTGTTTATATAAGTTAGGCTTGTATTCATTGGTCCTATTTTGTAAGGCTGGTTGTCTAATTGTTATTTGCGGCGATTTTCATTCTGCCTGAGTTGATGCTACCACAAATTACTGAACTGGATGCTACTATCCTTTATTATTCGCATCAACTGTACCAAAGGCAAGTTCATTATGATGCTCTAAATATATTTCTTTGTCTTTTTATCTGTTACAATTAGAAAAGGACAAAGTACTTTCAGAGCATCTAATCGTTAATACTGAACCTGTAAGATAAAATCAATGCTTTTATAATGCAAATACATACATACAAGAAATTAAAATAGCCTCTAAACTGTAAATTTATGTTTTTAAATTATTAGTTGTTAATTTATTGGACAAAGCCATGGAAATTTAACCTTCATAGAGGCGAGACGTTAAATAGTGCTTTGTAATAGTGTAGTTTTTTCTCGAAATATTTGAAATTCATGGAAAGTTCGAAAAATTCAGTGACGTAGTGATTTTTATAATTTTTTTCGACAGTTTCGTAACAAAATTCAATTCAACTCGAGTTTGTGGAATAGACCCGAGGTGAATTTTGTTAGATTTGATATTCTGCCATGAGTTGGCTTAAGGTGAACCATCCTGTACACAACACGATTCAAATTTGATATACAGAGTGTCCCAACATTCCGTGTACTGCTTTGGGTCATCAAAATTGACAAAGAAAATGTTTTTTTTCAAATAATTTTGAAAAGCATTGTGCAAAGGTAAGTTATCATTAAATCTGCCCTGTGGTAGCTCGTATACGCGGAACATTGGTTCACCCTGTATAGCCAAGCCGAATTTGCCGCGACGTCGAGCCCCCAGACGTCCGTCTGCCGGCCCGCGGACCCAGACACATCCCCATTATCCGCTCCGGCAGACACCCAAAACGCCAGACGCCCGCCCAACTACCTCAAGCCGAAACCGCCACGACCTCGTCTACCCGCCCCGGCTTAGTCGGTTCGTTGCATCGCCTGCGCCAGCTAGTTCGACGGGGCCACCGACCGAGAACGGGCTCCAACGCGTTGCGGACCGTGCACCACGTTCCGAAAGCCGACGCGAGAGGTCAAGGATGACATATAAGTGCCGAAACGTCGACCGAGAGACACAGTTCGCGGGACGCCCATTCATCTCGGCACCTGGTGCACTATTACAGGCGCCGTAGGACGTCACGTCGTTATCTAGGTGCGTGGAGAAAGTGATAACGTCCTCCGCGTGTGAATCCGCGAGACTGCTTCATTCAGTCGATCTCTTGACCCCGGTTCAGAGATAAACCTCGGCGAGATACGCGGGGCTCGGTTTCGTAGTGTTCTGTGTGAGGGATTGGCACCGGACTTGCTAGAAAACAAACACGGAGGATATCTGCTGCGGTTCAGTCGGTGGTTTGGCAGAGGACTGTTTTTTTTTTTTCAACGCGGTCGGAATAATTGCATTAGCTTCAAAAAAACGCTTCACACTCGAAGTAGTTCAAATGAACCGAGAATTCTTACCGCTAGTCTTAGTTTTCAAGCGTGCCTAGTACAACTAGTGCCTAGTAGTTTGATGTAAGTCGCACAGAAGCGAAAATTTTTCAATTATTATCTGCATTGTTTTGAACACAGAGGCAAGTGGAAGGGTGTGAACTGTGGATTAACTAAAATGTAGGGCTGGTAACATCGAATTGATTTTGACGCGATGAAATATTTCTAATATGTAATTTGCGCGTGAAGAAAATACATTGATTTCAAACCAAAAAGGTTATACATATAAACGTGAGTCAGCAACTCGATAGTTTTGGAGATACAGGACGTGAAAATTTAAACAAAAATTCACCTATTTCTAAATATATCTGAGGACATTAACATTGATTCTACGGAAATTTGGTACAATCGAGAATAGAAGCATTACAACAAAGCGTTGTTAATATTATACTTATAGACGTTTTTATTTGGCATTTTTTTTTCAAGCAACATAAAAATATGTCCGTATTAAGCCGTACTAACCTTGATTTTTATCAGGGATCCGAAACGGGTCGAGATTATAGTGATAGGTGACTAGCAGTCATATCTCTCAAGAACAATATTTAGAGAAAAAAAGCCAACAAGCCGTCGAGCGACTGGCAATGTCCTAAGTTGCAAGTGTCAATCGTCACATAAAAGATGATTTATGATCGAGGTGCAGTGCAATTTATGGCACCTCGTTTGTAAATTGCAAATAGAAATCAAAATTACTTTTCTATTTTAAACCACCGCTATCATAAAATTTTGATTTGCCGTTCGATTTTCGAGATATTGAAACTTCTTCTGTTTATAACTTTTGATCTAATCAATATTTTTTGACGCTCGAGGGCTAGTTTTGTAGGTATTTTGAAGACGAAAAAAAAGTAATTTACTGTTTTCTCGTGGAAATGAACGGAAAAAAATTATAAGCGAAAAACGTGAATTTACGTAAAAATTATGCAATTCACCAGCCTGTAAACAATCTTCCCCCTATTTTTATGACTGTGAAAACTAATATGATATTATACATAATATTTAACATCAATAGTGATAAATTCAACTTGCCGAAACAAAAAGTCGCGTCCAACTCTGTAATTCCTGGCCTATAAAACTTAACCTACTTTAAGAAATTATATCAAATAACTATTCAGAAAATAAAACAGAGGAAATCAATAGTAAGAATTAAAAGTTTAAAACGTTTATTACCTACCTTCAGAATGCGTCGTTTTCATTATTGTCAACTGAAACAACATGTTTGATGCCAAGGAAAAGTGAATAAAAAGATGGTGTTAAAAAACCTTAATTGCAAAACTGATTTGGCCAATAAAAGTTAAGCAGAAACATTCGAATCGCTGGCCAAAGGTGGTTTTGGAAAAGTTAGTTCAACGCTTCAGAAAAATTTAAAAAGTTAGCTTCACATTTAAGGAGGATACAACATTTCGTACACCAAAATAAATCAAGAGCGAAAAGAGTATAAAAAGAAACACTAGGTTCAAAACACAATACATTTGATTTAATGAAAAAGTACAATTGCCTTTTTTGCTCCATTCCTGTTTTTTTTTGGTCACAATTACACAAAAAAATTTACAAGGATAGGATAAAAGTCCGTACAAATTTTCAATTTAATCTTAAAAAGTAAAAGTTATTAATAGAAGTTAATTTTAATAACAATTTTAATGTATAGAACGAGGCGATTCAATAAAAAAAAAATGACACTTTCCTGGCCCTACGCCCTTCACAGTACGCTTCCTCTTTAAGATTTGTGTGGAAGAGGGCGCGACATATTATAGTTACCTTGCTCATAGACGCGATCCTATAAACGTTTTTCTAGCAAGTCCGGTGTCGGTTTTGCGCAGGTTCCGAACGCGATGAAGTGATGGATCGCGCAGCGACGGCCTCCAGGACTGCCAACTGACGATAATGGCAAGGAGAAAACGCCTGCTGAAGCTCATCCTAGGCATTCTCATAGGGATCTTCACGTCGCACCTGTTCACCTCCACCAAGCTGGCCACCTTCGACATGTGCTACTCTCGCGAAAGAAAACACATCACTCCCGTCCAGCTGATCCGCGAGGAGGACGCCCGGGCCTCCAACAAGAACCTCCTCTTCGTCGGCGTGATGACGGCGGCTAAGTACCTGGACTCGCGCGCCAAGGCTGTTTACGACACGTGGGGCAGGGAGGTGCCGGGCAAGGTGATGTTCTACAGTTCGGAGTTCTCGTATAGCGAGCACGTGCCCCTGGTGCCGCTGGACGGCGTCGACGACGGGTATCCGCCGCAGAAGAAGTCCTTCATGATGCTGAAGCACATGCACGACCACTACGTCGACCAGTACGAATGGTTAGTATTGATTCCCGACGTACAAGGGACTTAACATCTGGTGGCGCCGATACTGTTTGCTCTTAGAGTCATATTTTACTGCTCTGTTAAAGTAATTTTTCTGAAATCGAATGTGCTTTCCAGAGAAACTTCTTAAAGCTGTTGATTTGTTAATAAATTCACGAAATTCTTCAATTTATTCAAAAAGTTGGTTGGTTGGTTTTCCACTATTTTAGAACATCTAATGTGTTTTTAACGACATTTCGATCACTTTCTAACAAACCGTCACTGTTTACTCAAACGCGTTCATTGCAACCAGATGTTGAGCGGCTTGTACCCGTCAAGGAGCACCACAAGACCCCCTAAACACGAGAAATTCGACCCCTTAGGTTCCTGAGAGCCGACGACGACGTCTACATCCGGCCCGACAGACTGGAGGACCTTCTCCGCTCCGTCGACAGCAAAAAACCATGGTTCATAGGGCAAACGGGGCGGGGGAACAGCGAGGAGTTCGGCCTGCTGTCCCTGGAGACCGACGAGAACTTCTGCATGGGCGGGCCGGGCGTGATCTTCAGCAGGGAGACGCTGAAGAGGATAGCGCCCCACGTGGAAGACTGTCTGGAGCACCTGTACACCACCCACGAGGACGTGGAGCTGGGCAGATGCGTGAGGAGGTTCGCCGGGATATCCTGCACGTGGTCCTATGAGGCGAGTGACTTCGATAGTAAGGCAAGAGAGGTGTAGTAATGCATGTGGTCTTGGTTTGAGGGTTTTTTTCGACGGGGGTGGTGTATTTTTCACCCAGGTCCTTCCGGTGGTAAGAGGGTTTGTGGTGGACGCGTTCAGAGCTTCCTTTGGAACGGTCGTAGTCAAATTTAATTTCGGTAAACAGTTTTAAGTCGACAGCGTATTACAAACAATGCGTTCCATCAATATTCGTTATGTTATGTCATTAATGAACGTTACGAATAAAAGCGGGCCCAAAATAGACCCCTGAGGTGCACACGATTTCTGCTTGAAAATGTCGGATCGGAAGTAACGGAATTGAACATTTTTCTCAACTGTTTCAGGTGATAGAAGGGATTTCGAGATATTCTGAATGAGAAATTTTCTCCCATGAATGATGATTAGTATGTAATAGACTTAAAATTGATCAAATAAATATTTATTGCGTTGTGAAAAAGAAGGAAAATGCCCAGTTTCTATTTTCTCGACTATCTCAAAATCTATAAAAGATATATCTACTAAATATTTGAAATTAGGGTAGAATTTTGTCAAACTTTCGATCTCTTATAATAATCTAGCTGAGAATCATTGCTGATAAACGGAATTTGTCAGGTTTTTGTTTTTTTTGTCTTAATTTTTAAACTGTTTCCAATTATTTGTCGCGCTTTTGAATTGTGTATCTCAGTTAAATTTCGAATGAAAAAGCCTTGTTTCTCACTCTCTGTATATGCTCAAAACTGAAATTTCAATGATGATAAATTAGAAAAAGAAAGATTGTAAAAATCAACGTTTAAACTGTATCTCATTTTTCGTAATTAGCAAAAAATTATTCTAAATGATGCAAAAAAATTGTAAAAGTTATGGTTAAAGTAAACATACAAAAGCTAATAATAGAATATACGTTTTTCGAGTATCACCCTGTATAACACGTAATTAATGAAAGAAAACGGTACCTGCGCAACAAAATTGCAAGCCAACCGATCTCCTCATAAAAAAGAGAAAGCTGTTCGTTAACGATACACCAAAAATGAATTGCGAGAATGATAATGACATGTCGAAAATTCAATGTAATAGACGAACAGGTAATTAATTTTTTGGGAGATGATAGAGCATGCTGAAGGTATGCTGTGCAATTTGGTTGTTGCATCGCCAATATTGCTTAAAAAAAAGATAACGGGTCTGGAAATACTCGTGTTCAAAAACTACAAAAGATAACTGTCGTCAAATATTTGTCCAATCAACACTTTTCTAATTAAAATAACAAAGTAACCTGGGACTGGAACCTATTGTTTTTTTATTTGTGAAGAAAACTCATTGTCGGAATTTAATCAGCCATGTCATTTTTATCACAATCGACGCCTGATAAAATTTTCGGGAATGCACGCCATTCTGTTGAATCTGCGATACCTTGAAGAGGATGATGTGGCTTTTAGCGTATATTTGCCCAAGTAAACACCGGCTAAATCGGAAAGATAATACGACGGTACACACAAGGAATTCCAAGTAACCATGTCAATTTATAAATGTGTGTGCTGTTCTGTATTCTCCTCGGTGTTTGGCCTGGTTGTTTACTCGTGAGGTCTTTTTGTTCGCCTTGTTCAATACACTTACACGCTCTAGAGTAACTGACCAGGAATGTAACAGACTTTCCTGAAAAGCGATCGTATTCTGCAAACAGCACGTGCCATTTTTAGCGCAGAATTTGTTCTTAGTTCACTATACAGGGCGGCGGTTTTGGCGGTTTACATTTTGTGTTCGAAAATGCCGACGTTTATTCAAATCTCGTTTAAAAGTGACACAAAAATTAAATGAATAAACGAATTACTTACCAATAGACGATATGTTCGACAAAAATTGTTCAAAGTTGTTTCCATGCATGTGTCTGTCACCAAAACCACCACACCACACGTTCACTAAAAACCGAGATCTCTGTGCAACGTGAGGCACACAACAACGCACGTGCACAAGATGCACAGGGTCGGCTTACATTTATGGTTCATTTTCTTGCAAGATTTTGTCGATTACATAGAAAATTCCCTGGGCCATAAATAATTGTTAATAGAGTAAAATATTGAAAAATTTTAAAAAAATTATGACAGTGTAAAAATGGGTATTTTTAGTATTGATCATTGTTTATTATGACAAGTATCTATAAAAAAATGTGTGGGGCGAGATCCGGAACATTTTCAAAATTGCAAAAATGTTTAAAATATTTTAAAAAATACCTATTTTATCTGTGTTTATTACTTATATCTTGGAACTTATGCATTTTGGAAGGATATTGAAGAGGAAAAAAGTTTTAGATTTGAATTTTATACAATATACTGTAAGTTAAAAATTATTTTGCAAAAACTATCCAACCGATTTTAATGAAATTTAGTGTGTTGTTTTATTATACTCTAAAGTTTTTTTCACCAAAATTAGAATGTCCTCGGAACAATTGAAATGTTTTAAAAAAATTATCCAAAATACTTGATTATTTTGCCTTTTTTTTCATCAATTTCGACAGGTCCGCTCTAGTCTATTATAAATATTTACTTATTTTAAAAATTGCTTTAAATATACATATGGTTTTCTGATATTTATCGCCCATTCTTCATGCAAAATTCATTTTGATTCGCAGTTGTTGTAACTTTACAGAAAATCGTCAATTAAACAAAAAATTAAGAATGACTTTTTTTATTTAGAGCTTACTTTCATTGTTACAGGGAAAATTATGTCGAAAAACGGGTCATTTTTCGTTCTTTTTGTACGTTTGTTGTTCCCTTGAATTTACCAATGGTTTTTTGAAATAGGCATACTCTGATTCTTATTCTACATAATATTTGCGATTTTTCTGTAGAACAAAATAGATGACTTCAAATACGTAATTCGTAACAGCATATTTGACAGTTCATTAAGGGTTTCTATACACGATCAGTTTTTATACACCAGATATTCCTCATATAAGTATCTTAAACATCTTTTGACATGTTTTTTTAATTTAATCTACGACTACGAGTTCATGTATGATTTTACGCATACATTTTCTTTAAATCATATATTTGATCAACCAATATCCATCAACTTGAAAAAATTGCTAGTTGAGTGTAATCATCGTGTAACATATTTTTACAACGAGATATAGAGGTCTATCGACTCATGGCCAACGTGATTATTCGCGATTAAGCGATTAGAAGATTAAGTCCTTCAGATAAGTGTATATTTAGTACCGTATCAACTATGTGATATAATTTAATTGCATATTCGCGTAACAACAGAGATAGCTATCAGCAGAACTTAAAATAGTTTGTTTTTTAACGTAAATTTCGATCTTTATCGTATATGTATATTACGATCGTCAGAGATCTGATAGCTCTCGGGTAAAAGGGGCGGTCTATTACTACTTTAAATCGTCAAGCATCCGCATTGAATTGAAACTATCGATTGCACAAAACGCAGTGTTACTACATTCGTTCCTGCTGACATAAACGTATTATTAGAGAGCTAATGTCGTTGTTTTCCTTCTAATAGACTCGCTTTTTAATGAACGGCAAATTGTGTGTGTAAATAGAAAACGATACGTGTAAAGGAACCCAGGTTCTTGTCACCTGATACAGCGTCAGACGGTAGCCAGTGACGTATTGTTGACGGATGCGGCCAACTCGAATATTTTATCGTAAAATCGATTTTTTGTTAGATAAGGCAAGTGCCTTGACTTCGTTGTTCGCTTGAAAACTGGTGAGTCAGCATCTCCGATCAGATAAATACAGGTAATATTACGTGTACGGGGTTCTTCAGGGATTTGGATAAGTTTCGTAAAAAAGGTTTCTCATTTTTAGGATGACTAGTTTTTTTTTAGATCGTATCTGCGATGTAAGTACTGATTCTAGAATGTGACAAGGTGGCTTTGAAAATACAAGTCATTGTCGGTATTTTATTGTTTAAGTATTTACTTTCGATACTCGAAAACGCGTTGAATAACCAAAGCAAACAAAAGTGGGTCCTTGATTTTAAGGTTAGGAGCAACCGCTGCCAACTAAAGTATTATTATCGCGGTACAAATTTAGGGGTGACTCGCCCCTAAATTTGTACCGAGCTTTGTTTTATCCAGTATCAATATCGAAAAAACGAAGCAGTAATTTAGTATTTTCCTGGAAATGAATTAAGAAACCTATTACCATTTAAGTTTAAAAACAAAAAATTATGTTAATTGCTTCGCACGCAAATGTTTTTATAATATTTTTTCCACATAAATGTCTATCGTTCCCTTTTTTTAAATTAACGTAAACAATTATAATACAATACGTACCCATTATGTTTGTACTGGCAAAACGAATTACTGTTATTGCCTCTGGAATTTCGTATAAATACAAGTTAGACCAGACAATAATTCTATGTAATTACTATACTATAACTTTTTTTTTTCTGTCATAATAACATGGAGGATGCTATTTTCATAACCATAAATTATCCAACTGACGCAAATTATCGTTTAATTCGGAAATAATAAATAAATTGACTGTTTTATTTTATGCCCGTCCATAAAATTGGTGGCAGGTTTATTTTAACGTCTTTTTTCGTTGGTCTGTGCGCGATATCCAGCTGCACTAGCTTAGGCTTGTCAAAATAGCTTATGCGGAATACCAGGACGGTGGCGGCACTATTTTTGTTTTTTTTTTTGGCTTATTTGTAGTGTAGACGTATAGTTGTTGATACCAGTTAGAATTTTTCCCCGCAATATTTTGTTTATATTATGTTTTATCTTATTGCAAGTCGTGTATTTCGGATTTCACCCAACTTTTGAACCTGCGAAGTCGTTTGCAGAGCCCCTACATGCGGTAAATTAAGCCAAATGTATCCCTAAAGAGCAAAAAAATTACAATATATTTTTTTTCAATTCAAAACATTGTTAAAATTAATTTATCGGTAAGCAAAATGCAGGTCTTTAGGAAGTAAGTGTTTATATGCTACGATAAACATCCGTTTACCACAAGCTAGCT